TAATAAAAGAAAAATAGACATAAATAAATGTATATGAATGAGTGAAGAATGCTATATTTTTCTGTAGATGTCATTACATACCACGTTTTGTCAGCTAAAAAAATTTAATTAAATTAAAATTTAATTAAAAAAAAAGAAAAAGCATAAAATATAAAAAAAAATGTCCTATGTATGGGGCCCAAAAGTGACATAGGAAATAATAAATAAGTAAATAAATGAGCACAATAATAATTATAGAAGGAAAAACATGTTGCCATTACAAACCTATGTGTTGTCAGCCTAAACAAAAAAAACCTTGTAATGTATGAGGGCCCAAAAGTGACATGGAAAATAATAAATAAATAAGTGAGCATGATAAAAAATAAAAAATAAAAATAAAGAAAAATGTTGCAATAAATAGATAAACAGATGAAAGTATGCTGCATTTTTCTGTATTTATTGATTTGTGTACATATACAGTACAGGCCAAAAGTTTGGACACACCTTCTCATTCAATGCGTTTTCTTTATTTTCATGACTATTTACATTGTAGATTCTCACTGAAGGCATCAAAACTATGAATGAACACATGTGGAGTTATGTACTTAACAAAAAAAGGTGAAATAACTGAAAACATGTTTTATATTCTAGTTTCTTCAAAATAGCCACCCTTTGCTCTGATTACTGCTTTGCACACTCTTGGCATTCTCTCCATGAGCTTCAAGAGGTAGTCACCTGAAATGGTTTCCACTTCACAGGTGTGCCTTATCAGGGTTAATTAGTGGAATTTCTTGCTTTATCAATGGGGTTGGGACCATCAGTTGTGTTGTGCAGAAGTCAGGTTAATACACAGCCGACAGCCCTATTGGACAACTGTTAAAATTCATATTATGGCAAGAACCAATCAGCTAACTAAAGAAAAACGAGTGGCCATCATTACTTTAAGAAATGAAGGTCAGTCAGTCCGGAAAATTGCAAAAACTTTAAATGTGTCCCCAAGTGGAGTCGCAAAAACCATCAAGCGCTACAATGAAACTGGCACACATGAGGACCGACCCAGGAAAGGACCAAGAGTCACCTCTGCTTCTGAGGATAAGTTCATCCGAGTCACCAGCCTCAGAAATGGCAAGTTAACAGCAGCTCAGATCAGAGACCAGATGAATGCCACACAGAGTTCTAGCAGCAGACCCATCTCTAGAACAACTGTTAAGAGGAGACTGCGCTAATCAGGCCTTCATGGTCAAATAGCTGCTAGGAAACCACTGCTAAGGAGAGGCAACAAGCAGAAGAGATTTGTTTGGGCCAAGAAACACAAGGAATGGACATTAGACCTGTGGAAATCTGTGCTTTGGTCTGATGAGTCCAAATTTGAGATCTTTGGTTCCAACCGCCGTGTCTTTGTGAGACGCAGAAAAGGTGAACGGATGGATTCCACATGCCTGGTTCCCACTGTGAAGCATGGAGGAGGAGGTGTGATGGTGTGGGGGTGTTTTGCTGGTGACACTTTTGGGGATTTATTCAAAATTGAAGGCACACTGAACCAGCATGGCTACCACAGCATCCTGCAGCGACATGCCATCCCATCCGGTTTGCGTTTAGTTGGACCATCATTTATTTTTCAACAGGACAATGACCCCAAACACACCTCCAGGCTGTGCAAGGGCTATTTGACCAAGAAGGAGAGTGATGGAGTGCTGCGGCAGATGACCTGGCCTCCACAGTCACCGGACCTGAACCCAGTCGAGATGGTTTGGGGTGAGCTGGACCGCAGAGTGAAGGCAAAGGGGCCAACAAGTGCTAAACACCTCTGGGAACTCCTTCAAGACTGTTGGAAAACCATTTCAGGTGACTACCTCTTGAAGCTCATGGAGAGAATGCCAAGAGTGTGCAAAGCAGTAATCAGAGCAAAGGGTGGCTATTTTGAAGAAACTAGAATATAAAACATGTTTTCAGTTATTTCACCTTTTTTTGTTAAGTACATAACTCCACATGTGTTCATTCATAGTTTTGATGCCTTCAGTGAGAATCTACAATGTAAATAGTCATGAAAATAAAGAAAACGCATTGAATGAGAAGGTGTGTCCAAACTTTTGGCCTGTACTGTATATTATTTATTTCATAATTGATTTATATTTATAAATCTAAATAGATTTGGTATAACTTTGTTCATTTCCCTGGTAATTAACTCACTCATTTATATTTCCATATGTATTTCTTTATTTCCAAATGTACTATTTATACTTATCACCACAATTTTTTAAATTGCATTTAGTATGTATTTATATGTAATTAGGTTATATATTTATTACCAATTTATGCATTTATTACTATTCTTTGGGCCATTACTGTTAGCAGTCCACTAAATGGGGTAATTATTAATAGGAAATGTATACATATAATTATGCTTTTAAAATTCTGAGGTGGTCAATTTGGTGATTCCAGTTATTATGTATTCATGCCGTGTCCTCAAAGACCACACTGAACATATTTTATTTAAACCTAAGTTTTAATCCATGGCCAAAAGAAACTCCATAAGTACAAACATTCAAGGACAGGATCAGAACAGTAGAATAGAAAAAAACAAGCATCAATGTGTTGTTAACATCCAGTTTTATTTGAAAACTTTCCTACAGATACACCATCATCACTAGAGACCGGACACAGGGTGTAGGTACGGTTACATTCAGTTGGCACAAATCACTGGGATTGACAAAACAGCTGCTGCATCACTGCTGCACTGAAACAAAAACAACACAAGGTGATCCGTTGAAACATGCAAACACAGTAGCATCGTTTGTCTGCACGTCACTTACCGACAAATAAGGTTAAAACAACTAAATTTGCTTTTAAGAGAGCAAATAAAATCTGATTTTTTCCAAGTTTTGTTTCTGTAGTGTGTCAGTATTCCTCATTATTAAGCCACTGTCAGGTTCACAACTAAATATGTACTTTTTTGGCATTTCATGATTGTCTGGGTTGTTGTGTATTTCATCATGTATTTATCCATCTCCTTTGATCTATAGTTAGATCAATAGGTGGATGATAAGATTACAAAGCTCTTCCAATCGAAATCAGGGTTCAAATAACCATTAACTTTCAAATTAGTCCTAGTCTGGTTGGAATGGATGGGTTGGAGTCTGCTAGGGAGCCAAGGGTCATGCATTTCACCCTAGACAGCAAAACCCTGCAAGGCAGTTTTATAGCTTTACAAAATTCACATACAAAAACTGGAGCTGAAGTTATACATTCAGTCACAGAGGTCTCACAATCCCAAACTTCAAACCCCCCGCTGCTGTCCCTCAAATACTTGGAACTTCAAGACCGAAGCAAAGGCTAGAAAATGGAAGCAACCTTCAAAAAGGTTAGTAGAAGTAGCTCAGTCATAGTAGAAACGTTACTATTCCTCGCCAGGCACTTGAGTCAGTAACTACCCTTCACTCAGCTCTCGGTTACTGTGTACTTTCTGCTATGCAGCATTCGTGCACGCTTCAGCTCAGAGCATGTGCAGGTTTCAAGCTGTCATTGATCAAAACTCAGCTACACATATTTTCAAACTATTAACAAAGGCAAGACGTAAAGATTACACACTGGTATTAAAAGACTAGACTTGCATCTGTTGTTAACATGAATGCATCACCACTGTTTGCTGATTAGAATAATATATGTGTTTATGTGTGTGTCATCAGAGCACTGCTACAATCCTCCTGATTCACTGAAGAAGAAAACAATAAAAACATCAAACAAATTGATGATGGTCAGACAGGCCCGTCAGGGGAGAGCAGAGTTTAGTGAAGTAGCTGCGGTAGTCCCTAAACTTCTTGCTTAAGAAGCCCTTTTTCTGTCACTCAGTAAACTGACGACCCCTGACTGAAGGACATCTCTTATGGATATTTCATATTCTATTAAATACAGAACAATAACAGTGCAGAACAACTGATAAACTGTACAGTTAACCCAAATATTGAATACAATAACTGCAGGACGTTTGTGTAACTCGAGCAATTTGGATTAATTTCGAGCAGAATTTTTCCTGCAAATATCACAGATGAGTCTTCCTAATATTTGTAGAAACTTTTAATATAATACTCTATTTTTGACATACATACTTAATAGGCTTCTTTTTAGACAAACTAACTGTTTTCTTCTCCTTTTGCTTGGCCATTGTTCTATCAGCTCTTTGGTTGTTTTAACTGCATACGTTTCTAAAGCAGGATGAGGCTGTTCAGCAGAGACTGACGGCTCTATTTATATCTTGAATAATAATCTAAACTTTGAAATGATTTCATTTAGTTTGCATCAGAGAGATGAATTAAATGCTGAGATATAGGCCTACTGTATGATTTTATCAAGGCTTCTCGACGCTCCCGTGAAGCTTTTGGCGACCCCTAGTGGGGGTCAGGACCCCCGCTTGGGAACCAGTTGCCTACTGGGCTGAGTATCAAATCACGAAACTTTTTTGGGGCTGACCCAAATGGTATTCTTCACTCATTTATGATGGGATATTTTCTTACTTCAATAGTTAATTTATCAATTTTAAACTAATTTATTCAGACTATGTTTCCTATACTGCTTGTTTTTAAACAGATCCTACAGACCACATTAACGATGCTATCGAGGTATTTCGCCACTACTCGCGTTAATGGAGGACCAAATTAAGGAAGCTGCTAAACTAGATTTAACGGTGATGCAGCTGGGAGTGCACGACGGCAGAGACATTTTAAACGGGCAATGCTCGCTTGTTTTCGGCACCCCCGAGGCATGGATACTAATGACATCAGATTCTGGGTGAGTCGTTGATCTCTACTGATTGGTTAGGGAAAAATCAAATCCCCCCCTCTTTGTAAATCGCCTTCAATGGAGGCGATGTCAGACTGAAGGCTCTGGGAACTTCAGTCTGACACTCAGGCTAAGTTCCCCCCTCAGGTTAACAATGTTAGCTCTGTCAGCACTGTTAGCACCGTTAGCTGCTAGCCACCAGCTCAGCCCCCTCCATATGGAGAGCCGTGTGCAGACAATCTCGCCCCAGACTCTGAAGCATAGATATGCTCTGAATGTTGCATACAGCTCCTTCAATGGACAAATAAATGTATCAATTCCAATTAAATAATCAATTAATCTTCTAAATAGCGAAGACATTACATGATTCGAGATTCACACATTTAAAATGCTCCTTTTCTACAGCAGTGAATAGTTTGAGTTGTTTGTCTGCTGGTCAGAACACAGACAGTAAGCAATGTTAACGGACACTTTGATAAATAAAATAATGTATAGATTAATCTGTTTTTAAAGCTTAGTAGTGAAGCCCTAGTAGAGTTTTTTTAATATAGTATAACAATATCATTAAAGGTATACTATGCAGGGTTTTCCTAATAAACAATGTAGAGGCTCATACAAAAATAGTCCGCTGCAAGCATCACTTATGACCCACTAGAAGTATGTGGTGGTGACCCTGCCCCCCGCCCATATTTTCTCATGTCTGCGACGTCCTGTTGCTTTGGTCTGGACTTTATAAAAAGGTAGCGACCACGTAGCAGCAGCACAAATTCAAAAGACGGCTAAGAGATCGCAGACTGAGCTTGCTGCAAAATGACTGAGTCTGGGGTTGGCTTTGACTTTGGCTGATGAGCACTGAAGGAAATAATGGGGACGCAGAGCAACACAGGGTTTGCCTGTTTTCTGCTGGACAGGTAGGTGTTGGCGGTTAGTTTAATTAGCTTTCTATTAGCACAACAAATATGACGTTCTTAGAGTAGTAGCTCGCGGTGTGTGTACTAGCAGTTTATTGAGGAGGGGCTCAGTTTACAAAAAGTAACCAGCATTTCCTGCATAGTTTACCTTTAATATTACACTATTGTTTTTTGAGCTCCTTCAGGGTTGGTTTTTAACTAACTTGAGTTTGTGTAGTGGAGAAAACGTCATGCTTTATTCTGGTGAGGATGACACTCTCCTGCCCTCTGCCCCACCTGGCTCTGCACTCAGCTGCTCCCTCAGCATGTGTGCTCTAAGTATAGAAACTATTGACACTCTTCAACACCTGTGAACCTGCATCAATACTGTTCAAACTGTCTCACATACAAATGACAACCGAGCAGCTATTTCCATTCTTAGCACTGCTCAACATAACACACAGATATGTGAGGATTTCATGAGTGTTTGATTTACGTTTTGAGGTAATGTACAACACTGCAAACACTAAAATATACTCGATCATGCCTGTAACACAGAGCTCAAGCGATTTCTTCACTATGTGTGTGCATAATTCCAGTCAAGCTAATCCATTAGCAAATACTGCTACAGCTCTACGACATGTGCCGAGCAAACCCCCTGCAGCTGCTGAACCAACAGCAAATGGAAGACAACATTTGTGTACTCGATGTGACGCTGTGTGCATCTGTATCAGTGACATATGGGACATAATATTAGAAACACCTCTCAACATATCGATATCCAAAACAACACGACTAAAGCGACGCCTGACGCACAGCATCAACCACAGAATATTGTACACTTCATACAGGTAGTACTCACTGCACGGTTGTTGTATTGATTTAGATGTTACATGTGTTCCTACTGAGGGTGTCAAAAGTATTGATACCTTGATAATTTTCGAAAAACCGCTTGTTTAAAACGATACGATCTCTGTCAATTAAACATCCGATAGTATCGAAAGTTCTGAAGCTATTAAAGATCATAAAAACAAAACAGATCTACAACCAGCCAATACAGTTGATCTCAGAGATACATGAAATGGACATGACCTTCTAAACAACGCACTACACTGTTAATGTGTGTCATTCTGCAGGGACAATGCTAGGGACATCAGAGCATCAGCCAGAGGGGACTGCTCGGCTAAATTTAGGAAAACTGCTTTCAGACATTTAGCATTTTTAGTTAGTGCAGCAGATAAATGGAACTTAATTCCCATCTAAATCAGAGAATGGGCAAGTTTGAGTATTTTTAAAACGACATTCAAACCACGGTTCAAGACAAATCAATCATGTGATCACTGATCTGAACCTGTGAATGGAATAAACTGTTTTCCAAGACTATATAACATATATACATTTTATATGTGATGTACTGTTTATAAATTTGCAAACTTTTAATCTTTATCTGTATTGTCTTTTAATATTTTTCTGTCCAGGAACTGAAGATGGTAATTAGCTATATAGCTAACTCTGGCTTGACAGCTGTATTATGCATGGTCCCTGTTACTGTAAATAAACTAATAAACTAAACTGAACGTGGTGGTGGGCACCAAATGTGGTAAAGTTGTGTGCTGGCAACATGAAAACAATGCCAATGCAAAAAAGCAGCTGAAGTTTGATTAGGTTGAGGGAAAGGAAAAAGCTTGGTTAGGTTTAGAGAACCAAAGGAATACTTGGTTACGGAAAAGATCAAGGTTTTGGCTGAAATAACTTTGTACAGGGCGTAGGTGATGTCAAGTTATGTACTTTGAATAGTTACATAAAGCAGTATCTGTGTAAAGTACCAATATAAAGTACTTTGTGTAGTTCTGTTAAATCTGTAAATTCCAGTCACTACTCTGACTTTTGGTTTCAAACTGGACACAAACAGCAGTCTCCTGGTTGAAAGTCCATGTTTGTTTGACCGATCCACCACTGCTCCTACCTGCCCTTTGCTATGCATGTATTAAGAGATATGAAAGTTGCTCAGTGGCGCATGAAGCCAAAAAGCCCTATTCCCGTGGTATGAAATCACCTGAATGATCGGCACGTATGCATCACTGGGCCCATAAACCAAGCGCACCAGACTTCTGCTGGCTGAACCAGTCGCTTCTGATTTAGTGCACCGCTAACTGGAATGCAAATAAAATGAATTAATCAAACAGCTCTGCTAGACTTGCCAAATGTTATCTGACTGAATGGATTAAATCCTGACGTTGAAAGGAGTCATTTCACGAGGGTTGTGACGCTACAAAAAATGTATCCACTGATAAATAGACGTCTCTTTCCCAATGTTAGTATGTGGGAAAGTCTTAGTGGCCAACTGCATCGTGTGCAGACTCTGGAGTTGTAATTCCACTGTTTGGCCACTACAAAAACTGGCTTCAAAGCCAGACACACTTCCCGTGGGCCTGCCCTACACAGACTTTCTCGCTCGATACTGAATCCATGTGTCCACCATGACAAAAATTCTTAACTGACTTTGCATTGGCATCGTTTTTGTGTTACCAGCATGTGACTTTAACATATTGTGCGCCCATCACCATATAATGCGTTGTTAAGGCTTCGTGCCCATTTCATGCAATTCTGAGATCAGGCTGTACCAGCAGTGTGATGGTTGTTATTTTAAAAAAGAAAAAAATATAATATTTTGTGTTCCTAGTTTTATTTCTCCTTTTAGCAGTGGCGTCAGAAGATGTATCGAGGATTGTTTTTTTACACTAGTATTGTTTCAAATTTAAAACAACATTAGTTGCTACTAAACTGTTAATTCAGTGTATATGATTTCACATTTGGAAAATGACCTGTTAAATTGCTTGATGTGCGTTACATGCGACTAAATGTCAGTTACTTTCAGCTAGCATTCCCAACTAGCGCTGAAATCTGTCTAATCATCTGTATTAATAATACAAATAACAAAACTCTCTATCACAATTGACAAAATTAAAAAACAAAAAAAAAAAAAACATGACATGATCACAGTGAAAACAAATTAAATCATATGGGCACTCTTTGTATTTCACATCTGTTGGCACTGGCATAAGATCCAGCTCAATTATCTACTGTACAAATAAAAGTCAGTCTTGGAGTGCTCCACTCAGAAACTGGACTTATAGTGATTTCAATATATTCAACTCAAAGAAAAACTGACCATATGATGGCAGTAACAATGCTGTTACCTCTCTGCTAGGCAAGATTTTTGCCATGTAGTTGTACTCTGAAAACTTTTGTGCTTAAATATACAAACACCACTAACATCATATCATCTACGATTAACTCATATCGTAACCTTTGGTATAATTCCTTAAAACAAACGCACTCACAATAAAACCAATCTCAAGGGGGCAAATTTTACTGTTATTAAATCAAATGCATCTTAAAAAGTTAATAAATGAGTGGCAACCTGCATTGCATTGGAAGGTGTCAGTTTTAAGCAGACACACAAGGCAGTTGGGAGGCTTCAGTGTGTGTGTGTGTGTGTGTGAAGCTCTTAGACTGGCAAATACACTCGCAGGCCTGGTCCACGACGGCAGGAGCGTTATAATTTATGTGTACACACAAACACACATAAAATCACTGAGCATATTGCACTTAGCTGTACAGGACAACAGTGTGTACAGGTACTCTGTACCGTCCAACATACCTCATGCCTGTAGGGACTGTGCATTCCCCGCTGCACACAGATAAAGCGAGAGAATACATTAATATCACGCATCCTGAGCGAGTGTGTGTTTCGCTTTTATGCAGCGAAACAAACTCGTCACTCTCTCACTTCTTTTCTCTTCACAGGGTGTATGTATGGGGAGCTTCTCTTCCTGTTACCCCCCATTTTCCTCTACCTCTATCATTATTATCGTGCCGTATAGCCCATTTGCTCCAGCTTCCTCAGGAGGATCTGAGTAAGGTCAAAGGTGGTGAAGCTGATGCCCACCGCCATGGGCCCTTTCACCCAGTTCATACTGAGACCTTTGTAGAGTCCACGGACGATCCCTTCTTCAGACACAATCTCCCTCATGGTGCCCAGGATGGTGCCGTACGTGTGACCTGTGACTCCCGCAGTCTGCATGCGGCGTCGCACCACATCCAGAGGGTAAGATGCCGACTGGCCAATAAGGCCAGCACAGGCTCCAAATGCTAGACGTTCATGTGTGTAGGGCTGTGAGCGCCCGCTGTGCTCTGCATGGGACAGAAGGATATAAAGGAGTGCCATTTTATGTATGCAACATTAACATTAGGTGTGAAAGAACACATTGCAGGTAAATAGATGCATTGGCAGTGGTGCGTTACCTGCATGTATTTTCTTCAATGTGTCATAGGTAAAAAAGCTGAGACCAGCGTAGGGAATAACACCCAGCATGGTGGGAGTGAAGCCTCGATACAATGTCTTCGGGCCCTCTTCTCGGGTTATTCGCATAAACACGTGCAGGATGTTACTGTACCTAAACAGAGGAGGTACCACAAACACAATAAACATCAAATTGGATGCTTAATTGTACAGCAAAATGCTCCTGCTCAGAATTTGACTCTGGCATCCTGGCAGAAAAAAATCTGTTTTCATTTAGAGGAAGCTCGACATCACTCAACAGCACTATGTGAATTTCATTTGAAGCAAAACAGGAACTCAACTACTTCTGAAGCCAGTGCAGTTTGTTGTGTCACCTACTCTATGTTTTTTTCTGACTGACATATTTTCAAGTCATTAGTAATAAGTTTTGGCCAGTAATGAGCGCTTTGCAGGACTTAGCGAATGATTTAGAGCATCATCCCTGACAGATCTGAGACCTCCACAATGTTGTGCTATTTAAATTTATCATGCATTGCTGTGTAGTGTCATGGCTCTTGAAAAGCCTTCAAATTTTCCATATTTTATTCATAGCAACACTCATATCAATGTAGCCCCTTGTTTTGTTTTGCTGTAGTGCTATTGTCAGTGTGTCTATGTGTGTGTTAAACACCCATTGATGACTGTGTATTGGCAATTAAAGATGGCCTTACATTTCCTTTGGTGTTACAGCCATCCTAGCTCGCACCATGTCCAGAGGATAGGTCAGCATGGCTGCTGTCAAACCAGCCATAGACCCGGCAAGAAATCTGGGAATTAGAGGAAGGGCTCTGGAACACAGAGAAAACAACTGTATACATCAGCCTTTCAGATTTTGTATTACTCCACAAGACAAAGACAATCCTAAATGAGCTTTAAATTCAAATGTAAAGATAAAGGTCAATAGATGAGCCAGCAGACCTGAGTAGTAGGTCTACTAGTGTAAACTGGGGCTGTAATGGTATGCGTATTCATGCTGTACTGTACCATCACCATACAAGGTTTACAGTGTGGTGCACGCAGCTGCACACAGAGCACATGGTATGCAGAACAGAGTTCACAAGCGTGAGCTCCAATCAAACACTTTCAGCTGTAAGCTTCTGGCAACACATGCTGAGATTAGCACAACAAGCTGATTGTCAGGCTGTAACATGCGAGACAGTCACACTATGGCGAGCGCAACTGAGGAGCTGGAAGGCCAGCCTGCAGGTTCCTGGTCAGCTACAGGGGACGAGGATGGTTGCTCTGTGGTTGTAGGGGATGTAAACAGAAACAAATCCAACATGCTAAAGCACAGTCAACGTTATCACCCAGATGTGCGGATTACTGGGATGATAAATGTTTGGGTGCTTTAAATATGTAAATATAGCCACGGTGTAACTAATGCTAATTGAAACACTCCTCCTAATGCACAAGTTTTATTTTTCCATCCTTCCATCAATCCATTTTCAACCGCTTATCTGAAGTCAGGTCGTGGGGGCAGTAGGCTGAGCAAAGTATTCCAGACGCCCCTCTCCCCAGCGATGCTTTACAGCTCTTCCTGGAAGATTATTCTATATCATTCTATTTATTTAGTATTTTCAATTTTATAGCATAACAGACGCTTTTCAGTTTTATAGCCTGTTGTGTCCAGTTGCCTTTTGGAAAAGTGTTTGTTAAGTGTTGGTACAGTGTAACGCAGATATGTTTGAAGTGTTCCTTATTTTTATGATAATTTAAGTTCAACAAACTTGTCAGTAGGCAAAAAGTTACATCCCCAGCTAGGAGACTTTGGCTGCCCAAAATAAATGAGAAGAAATGTATCCTTATGCATCTGTTTTATTCCAAATGTTCTGAACTCTCACCAAACCTTGAGTCCTAAACCAAGGTATGAAGCAAACTGTAACTCCTATGTACTGCTACACCTCTAGTATAAAGTGACACTTACTTCCCCTGAAAGCCGTAGTAGCCTCCCAACAGCCCCTTGTACTGCTCGTGTGCACAGAACTGGATGGCGGCATACGGGATGACTCGCACCATGGTGGCAGAGTTCCCCCTCCACAGACTGAGGAGGCCATCCTTCAGGTAGGTCCGGTAGATCAATCTGTAGGCCTCCTGTAATGTGGTGTGCACAGATAAACACATACATGTTCCTGATTGATTGATTGATTATATATATATATATTAATAGATTTTTGTCTTTGAACATCTTTCTGCTTATATTAACTGCAATGGATGTGAATCAATCTCTTCTTATGAATGAGAATCAATTGAATAACTAAGAAACTGACATTAAATATGTGATCAAACTTACCTTAGCAGAGAATCTTGCTGAAGACACTAAAAACAAAACATATGTGCAATATAAATAACATGTATGTGTCCAGTGTTTCTGTAGGTCATCATATATTTACTAATATTCTTATTTATATGACTGACAGAGCAACACAGCTAAAAAAACAAACAAACAAACAAAAAAAAAACCCACACTGGTTCTCGATGTAACACCATGGCTTCCATGTGGGTCATTTCTAATTTAAAATCTGTTTCCACTTTTAGGTCAGCAGAGAATCCAACTTGCCTTGGAAAATGATTTTAGTCCTGTCCAGAGGGGCGACAGCTGTCTTGGCCACAGCGCCTGCTAAAGCCCCAGAGAAGAGCGAGTTGAGGACAGAGCGCGTGAGCTTCGGGCCCTGCAGAGCGATGGAGGAATGACATTTAGGGTTACCAACACCAACATGGTGAATCCTGTAAAAACTGCCTCCTCATGTGAGCAAAGTCATGTTTGAGATGCTGTTGATCATTAAACTGGAGTTATGTGAGTATTAGATGACGTCTGACTGACCAGTTTATAAAACATTATAAAGGAGATCAGATGACCTCATATGACTTCCTTCAAATATAGAAAGTACAGATAATACACAGACACTGAAATAACCTCAGGATGCCGATACAGTTCTACCACTGAAGATCACCACATAATCACAATCTCTTTATTCTACACAATACAGTCATCGCTCACTTTGAGCAATGTGTCACGTTCCCTTGACAGGAGTTAATCACAGAAAATGACAGCTATGTTAGCATCAAGAGTATCATAAAAGGGAAGGGAAATCTGAAACAGAATTTGCATTGTGATTATTATCATGTGATTTCTGACAGTCAGCTCAGTGGCATGACATTGCACTAGTGACTCTTTGGCCTTATAGATGCTTACATGTATTGTTTGGGATCATTCATTCACACTAGAAAAACTCCAGCTGCTCCAGTATTCACTCATAATTAAGCAGCTATATTATTTTCTAATTCAAACTGACCTGCAAAAAATGATATAAATAAAACCTGGACTTCATTTTTGAGTGTATTTTTTTCTTTTACAGTGACAGTTCATCCTGACAATCAAAAATACATATTTTTCCTTTCACCTGTAGTGCTATTTATCAATCTAGATTGTTTTGGTGTGAGTTGCAGAGTGTTGCATATATCAACTATAGTGATGTCTGACTTCTCTCTGATATAACGGATCTAGATGGCACTCTGCTTGTGGTGCTGAAAGTGCCAAAAAATACATTTGAAAAACTCAACAGCAATGTCTCTTTCCAGAAATCATGACCCGATTACTCAAGATAATCCACAGACCTTGTTGTGAGCAGTTTCATATAGGAACTATTTTCCTTGTACCCAACTAATTCTGCCATCACCACTCAGAAAAAAGCCTGCATCTCCTCATGGACGAGAAGCTCGTACTCTATTCGTGGCAGCGCAAGATGTAAATGTAAATGGCTTCCTCTTTGACTGAGCTGTTGCGTTAGCTAGCTCAGTGGTGCTAGGTGAGCTCATCATAGATGCACACTTCCTTCTGCATGGTGGGTGTAGTTTGATAGAAGGAAAATAGTTCCTACGTGGAGCTGCTCACAAAAAGGTCTGTGGATTATCTTGAGTAACTGGGTCAAGTTTCTGAAAAGAGATGTTACAGTTTTCCAAATGCATTTTTTGGCCCTCTGAGCATCACAAGTGCCATCTAGTTCCCTTGTATTCAAGAGAAGATAGACATCTCTACAGCTGATATCTCTAACATTCATCAACTCACACCAATACATCTAGACTGATAAGTAACACTAAAGCTAAGAGGAAAATGTGTATTTTTGATCCAGGGGTTAACTGTCACTTTAGGTGTTGAAGGAAGGATCGTATTTTACCCCATAGCGCACTTCTGACTGACTGGAGGAAGCCAGCGTCAGCACCTCTCCTTGCGTGTGTGATGTCCGTTCCTGTACTCCTCTCCCCATCCCCGAGGACTATACGCGGCCGTCACTGAGCGTGCTCATGAATTCAAGCACCGGCAGAGGGGAGCAGCAACACCAGGAGCTGAGCGCTACAGAGGAGAGGGAGAGGTCAGAGAGGAAGACAGAGGTCAGTGTTAGGTTGAAATTTAGCCTCTATATAAAAGGATTGACAAGACATTTCCGTGGCTAACCTTCTGTGTCAGGATCAAGTGACAAGCATGACCTGCAGGCAGAGGAATCTATTCTCGTGTAGTGCTGTCATTCTCCCATACTCCCCCTTCTGACTAGAGAAATGCCCTGTAAGCATGTGATGACTAACAGACAGTGTTTGTCTTTAAACAAGAAACTGTAAATACAACACCCACCTCAAGTAAATAAGTTACTGGAACAATCCAATTACCTTTAACCAACTGCCACATCTCTCAAGGCTATATAACAGCACTAAGCAAAGTAGAACTACAATAAGTTAGGACAGAGCTTATGACTTGCAGGTCAAAGGTGTCTGTCTGAGCAAAACAGCAAAATAAAATTAAAAAAAGAGCACAATTGAAGCCCATTCAGGACATACTCGCCTATGTACTTAGTGGAGAATAACATGTGATGAACTTTAGAGGAAGAACACTATCTGGGGCGATTACTACATTAACAAACAAAGACGTCTGCATATTCTGCAATGAGCTAATCCTTTTACTGGACAAATCACTGATTCATGCAACCTTCAACCCACACAGGGTCACTACTACACGTATTTTACAGCCAAGCACCGCTTATACCAACTTCACTTTAAATCACCATTGAAACGTTTTCAAATATTAAAACTTGAACTGCAGGAGAATGCATATACAGCTGGCATTTTTATTTTTGCAGGGCTGCAATAATTCCTTTCAGGTTACTGTTTAATGAATGGCCTACTGTTTTTAATAAATCACATTGGAACATATGTATATTTTACACAACAGCAAAAAATAGAGTTCTATGTTATACACACTTAATTAACATCAGTTTGTGTTTTGATGACAGGAGCATTATTAAGGTTATTTAGGGTTAAGATTTGTTTCTAGAGATATAAAGTTTATATTAGAGCGACAACAATTAATCGATAAGTTGTCTACTATTAAATTAATTGCTACTGTTTTGATAATCAATTAAGTCATAATTCTCTGATTTCAGCTTCCTCAATGTGAATATTTTCTAATTTCTTTACTCCTCTATGACAGTAAAATGAATATCTTTTGGTTGTGTACAAAACAAGACACTTGCAGATGTAATCTTGAGCTTTGGGAAACAACTACAGACATTTTTTGCCATTTCATGACATTTTATAGACCAAAAAAACTACTCGATTAATTGAGAAAATGGTCGACAGACTGATGGACAGTAACCGCTAATTGCAGACCTAGTTTAAAAAGTAAACTTGCTGTTGTAGACACAGCTGTTTCTGCTTTAAAAAGAACATTTTGCTGTACTGAATGTATAAATAAATTATTACCCTACTCTGATTTTGTTCTGTGCTAGATTATTCCACTGGATGTTACAGGGCAGCCCTGAAAAAATGGCAGCTTCAGCTTTAAAACTTCACCAAATATAACCTTTATCCAGCTTCAAAAATGGGCCAGTATTATTCTGAATATTTATTCACATTCTTTGGAGAAGTTTCACTTAAAACATCAGGGTTCATGGCATTTAGTAGCAGTGAGGAGAATCAAGCAAAACAAGATGGAGAGGGGAAGCCATGAGACAAGAGAGCAAACAGAGGGTCTGCTGGAAAGCTGGGTAGTCATGGGCAACTAGTATTGGCACCAATACAACAAGGCTTCATGCCAGATCCTCAAATGAGCACTTAAACCCCTAATGCGTACCCTTTCACCTCACCCACTGTCCTTATTTAGGGGACGTCCCTCACCCCTCCCAGCAGCCTCCTTCCCCATGAAGATCATTTTACAGTTCCTTGTTCCTGACAGCGAGCTATGTCTGCTCTGTGTGCCTTGGATCCAATGACCATACAACCTGCATTTTCAGCTGAGTTACTTACATGAGTCATCGGTAAAATGTCAATGTGTTGGTGAACTGTAGCGTTTCAGACTGTGTCAAGATAACAATGACTGTCTGAAAGTTACAGGTGGAGATGGACGAAATAATAAGAGCACTTCATCCAACTCATTCCACAACAGCAGCAACACAACAATTTTGACAAGTCCTGCATTTGCGATACGAGTCAAGATTTTAGTGGTAATGGTAGATTTTGCATTTCATTTTCACTTAAAGCAATATTAAAGTCATGATAATGTGATTTTTGCTGGGGTCTGTACCAAACATTTATGTTCTCTTATGTCTTAAATACCATTTGAAGGCAGGGTTTCTCTGTAGCATCACAATGCTTCATTAATAATGGTATGTTGTGAGGCATTTTAGCTTCATCATTGGCCATACTGTAACTTCCATAATATTTTGATTAACCGTGCAGCCAATGATTTTATTACTGATTACATACACACATCAATATTTTATGCTTTTGCTTGTTTTATGTTAATTATTTTGTGTTTGCTTTTTGATTCTATGTTTACTTGTTTGTTTACTGAGGCGAGACTCCTTAAATAAGCCTCCAGGTTTGTTTGTTTTTATATATCAACCTGCACAGTTTTCTTTTTGTATTCCTGCTGTGTTGTTTTATTATGCAAATACATAAATTAATTAAATAAAATGAAATGTGTGGATTTTTTTAATTGTTTGGTTTACATGTCAGCAAATAGTGCTCACTATTTTCCTGAGTAGAGGTGCTTATTTTATCAGACCAACAGCTCAAAATCCAGACATTTATTGGATAGAAAATAAAGAAAGGAAGCAAATCCTCACATTTTCCATTTATGCTTAACAACTGACTTAAATGATCAAACGATTATCAAAATAAAATCTGTCAATTTTAGCAGAATCCTGAGGTTAGTGGTGTTTCAGCAGGGGGCTGCATTAAATTGCAATCATGTTGTTTTATCCTCCTGGTGCCTTTTCTGTTACGTCAGTGCAATACTTTTGTAACAGCACATATGCTACCATTTTCCTTAGCAATTAATATTATTGTTATTCTGATTATTTGTGCTAATAATGGCACTGCATAACCACAGACAGGGCGTGATTACATCCAGCAATGTTAATCTAGAATTAAACTTTCATTCATACACTAACCTCCATGCCTCTGCTTCTGTCTCTGTGGTTGCTGCTCTCACCAGTCTTGTTGAAACTTGCCCACTAACAAAACACAGCCGGCTAGCTGTCAGTACTCACAAACACTGCATTTCTTACCTTATAAATTTGACACCAGCACGAAGACTTCTGTTTTTGATATCCTTCAATTGCTGCGTTATTTCGAGTCGCTAGCAGGTTGTTGGGAAACTGTTTCCAAGTTAGCCAAACAGCAGGTCAAGTAACGTTAGCTAGCTGTTAGCCTGCTGCTTCATGTTAATGTTACTCTCGTCGACAGCCTTGTGGGTTTTTTAATAGTCACCTTGCGTCTAAGTAAAAATGTCCCCAGGTGTTGAAGGCACTGTCTTCCACACACTCACATATTAATTAGCTCTGCAGGGACTTGAAGTGACGAGCGTCGCCCATGCTGTTATTTCTGCCGTGGCTGCTGCTCTGAGCGACCGAGGCAGTTAGTTAACGTTAGCTTGACCACAGTGAGATTTGACAAGGACGAGCGCAGTGGCATTGTGGGAAATGGAGTCTGACTGAGGAGGGGCATGTTTGGATAGGTCGGTTAGAGGGGCGTGAGCGTGAGCAGGAGGCCCTCTTCACTTACTGTAGTTTCTCCTGGGTTTTTTCTTGTCCGTGAAGTACTCACAGATGATAACTACACAGCCACACAGCGAGATAAAGGTGAAGCACCAACAGTGAGTTTATCACAATCATGCAGAATACACACTGTAATGTGTCAGTGGTAGGTCTTAGTATCAGAGATGTCAGCTTTACACTGTAATAATGTGCTAACAGACTATTTTTGTGTTTTTAAAAAAGGACTTGATTAGCGCTAGTGAAAGTATAAGGCATTCAATGCTAAAAAAAAATTGCATAAAACAGTGCAGTTAAAACTATTTGCATAGCAGCAAATACTTAATGTTGACCAATGGCACCAAGAACAGAAATTAAATCCAACATTTTATCAAAAGTACAGTGAGTAGGATTTAGGGGGCTATATTGACAGAAATTGAATATAATAAATATGTTTTATTTAGTGTATAATCACCTGAAAATAAGAACCGGAGTGTTTTTGTTATCTTAGAATGAGCGTTTATATCTGCACAAGGAGCCTGTTCATTCCTATAGATGTTGCTCAGTGGCACATGAATCCAAAAAGCTCAGTCACGGTATAAAAGTACCTGGATCTTCTGCATTGTGGGGCCCACAGAGTAAGTGTACTAGACACTTACATCCACCAAGTATAGCCGAGTGGCTGACTTTCAGTTTAGGACTCTGCTGACTTTAATGGGGACAAAATTATTTAATCTTGCGGCTCTTCTAGACTTAACAAGTGTTACTGGACTGAATGGCTTAAATATCAGTTGTGGAACAAGTCATTCTGCAGGGGTTGTGACACTTACAAAAATGCACCCACTGACTTACAGACATCTCTTTCCCAATGTAAGACTATGGGAAAAAGTATTTTAAGGCCCCATGGCATCATGTGACAGACTTGGCCGCTGTAATTCCACTTTTGCACTTTTGGCCACTATGTAAAATTGGCTTCAAAGCCTAGCGCTTGCTCAGGAAGTGAGCCAGGCTTTGAAGCCAATTTTTGTCGTGGCCAAACAGTGATACTGCAATTTTCAGGGTCTGTCATGTGATGCCATTGGGCCCAAAAAGTCTTTACCATAGACTTACACTAGGAGAGAGACTTCTGTCTATCAGTGGATACATGTTTTTGATCGTCACAACCCCCGTGAAATGACTCGTTTCACGATCAGAATTGGATCCATTCGGTCCGATAACATTGCGTAAGTCTAGAGGAGCCATAAGATTAAATAATTTTATCCCTGTTCCAAGTAAGCGGAGCTCTAAACCGGAAGTTTTCAGCTTGGCTGGTGGAGGTCTCTAGTGTATTTGTTCTATGGGCCCAATGATGCGAAAGCAGTGCCGATCATCCAGGCAATTTAATACCACAGATATTGAGCTTTTATGGCTTCATGCGCCACTGAGAAATTTTCGTTGGAACGAACAGGCCCCGCCTCCAATGCTGTATCCAGGTCTCTTATTATATTCATGGTCCTTGTCAACGGAGTCCACCATGTTGCACCACCATATTTCAACAGTAGCCCAGAACAGACTAACCAAACAATGGCTCTGATAGGGTCATTCATGTTTTTGGCAGGTGCTGGGCTAGTGGCCTGTCAGTGGAGAGCCAGACAGTGTTGGAGTAACACTGATTTGTTATGTGAAACTGCTTTATTCAGTGTTTTTACTGGTTTTAATCACCTGGTCTGTTTGTTTTGGAGAGGAAGAGACCTCTGTAGATAAAACAGCAACCTGTAAAAACCTCCTGAACAATGAACACGGAGGGAACTCTAACCTGGAGTTTATACTTGGCGCATGTAAGAAGATTCAGCTAGTTGCAATCTGCAATCCTCACTGTTAGATCCCACTAATCCCCCTACATCTTACACACTGCTCCTTTAATATTAACGTGGTACAGATATAAAATCGGTCATCAGAACATTTGCGAAAGAAAATATCGATAGCAACAAAATGTACAAAAGGACTACAATGACCTTTCATACTTGTCAAAACCAGAAAAAAAGAACTGGAAAACATATTCAACCTTTCAAAGGCGTTATGTGGATCTGCTTAAACTCTTGGCTATGTATACCAGTATAACATATCATCTTGCCTAGAACTGCATTTCAGGTGAAATCACAGTAAGGGTGTACAGCGACGCTCCGCTCTATTTTCAGCGGGTGAGGCTGCCATGTTTGCCTGTCCACAGCTCTCGGAGCTCCACCTTGCATCCCAAATCTCTGAGGGCTGCTTTACCCAAATCACCACAGTCTTGATGGGTCTGAAGTGCCTGGTTTATCAGGGCCTCTGCGCCCATGTCCAGGATTGGTTGGCTTAAGTTACGCATACGCGCAACCAGGTTTCTCATCAGCATACAAGCTTGTTTCTGTTTATAAAGACAAAAAACAGAGACACAGAGAGTGAGCAGACTGTCACGGGGCCTGTTTGTTTAAGTGAGCATATTAATAATTAATGACCTCATATTACCTGCACATTGACCGAATCACTATGTGCTTTCATAGCCTGCACCGCGGCCAGGGCACCTCCATTTTCCATGATGACTTTGCAGTTGTTGGGTTTACGTAAAGCAAGGACAGAGAGGCATGCACAGCCCTGCTCACACACCTACAGCAGAATGTTAACATAATAGGACATTTGCAGAATCTATTCATGAATCAAATATATTTTTGTCTCACAAAAAGCAATGTATAACAACATTTCTATACTAAAACTGGTGGTAAATGTAATAGGTAAGACACTTGACTCACAGCAGAGTTGCCCATGTGTCTGTTCATGGCGATGACAATGAGCTGTACTCCACCAGCATTAACAACTGCATCTTTCACATCATCATTTCCTGCTATGGCTCGAATTGCACTGAGGACCTGCCGGACCAAATCCTGCAGAGAGAAAACCGGTTATGTGAGTGGATCAAACACAGAAGTAGAATCATGTATCAGTTTGTGTCACAATGCCTTGTTTCTACCGCTGTCTCATAGCTGTCTGCAAGCAGTGTCATCATGAGTTTCAGTCCTCCCAGATCACAGATGTCTTGACAGAACTCGTTCCTCACAGCCAGACGGGACAAAGTTGCACACAGCTCACTCAGAACAGAAGTATTATCAAGGTGAGCTGTGACAAAGGAACACAACAGATACAGGAATTACATCAATGAAATCAGAATCTGACTTGAAAACATTAAAGTAGTTGACATCAGTTTGCCTTACCTTGCGCAGCCTTAATTAAAACTTTCAGTCCATTGTGCTCAAGAACAATCATCTTGGCATGTTCGTGAGCATGCCCAAATGTAACTCGGACATCATCGTCAAAGGTCATGACCCTGAGAGCTGCAGAGCCTTCCTTGACCAACTCAGCACATCCACTGTGTTGTGTTATGGCACCGGTCAGCAGAGGTAGGATGCCACCTTTTACCAAATCCTGCCTGTTCTGTTCATGTTTCAAACAGCAGTGACGCACAACGCAGATGGCTACACGTGTCACAGAGGAATCTGCCTTGTACTTATTAAGGACATTTAGAAGGAACTGCTGGCCCTCTGCATCCAGCAAGTCTGGCTGTCCATCTGTGAGTGCAGCCAGGGCGGACAGGGCGGTCAACACAGCTTCCTGCTCCTCTATGCTCTTCTTGCAGTAAGAGAGGATGACAGGGTAGGCGTCTTTCTGGGCAGCCAGGTACCTCTGGGCGAATCCAAGTGAGCAGTGCTCAGTGAAGCACTTTATATCTGCAGTCACATCCTTAACACCTGCAGAGTCTTGTCCAATGCGCAGGGAGTCCAAAGCCTGCACGTGAAAAAAGAAATGTGCAGTCTGGAGTAAATTTCTGATACCGTTGCTGTCAACAGAACCTTTTCACAAAAGAGTCTTACCTGTAAGACCTCATGTGTTTGCTCCTCTTGTTTGTCATCAGTTGATACAGCTGGTACAGCTTTTACAATGCAGCTGAGGTCCACACCTGCATCCACACATAAGACTAGGATTAAAGCTTTGACACACAACAAAATATCAAGCACAAAACAGGAAAGATTGTAGATAAACATAATCTATACAGGTGAACCTACTGACAACTCAAGAGTGTACAGCAGTAATACTCAATTTATAGCACACCGACCATTTTGTAATTCATTCATTCATTCATTCATTCATCTTCTAACCGCTTCATCCTCTTGAGGGTCGCGGGGGGGCTGGAGCCTATCCCAGCTGACATTGGGTGAGAGGCAGGGTACACCCTGGACAGGTCGCCAGACTATCGCAGGGCTGACACATAGAGACAGACAACCATTCACGCTCACATTCACACCTACGGACAATTTAGAGTTATCAATTAACCTGCATGTCTTTGGACTGTGGGAAGAAGCCAGAGTGCTAACCACCACACCACCATGCCGCCCCCTTTTGTAATTCACAATGAAAATAAATTGATTTATGCTCGTACATTTTTTGGTGTGTACTCTGAAAAATAAGGTGCCAGAGTGCATTAAAAAGCATCAAATAGAGCTAAAAATGTACCAGGGGAGGAGACCACCTGACAGAGGTCTGGGGTAAGTCCTGAATGTCTTCAAATCCTAGTAACACCCATGTACACCTGAGCTGTGCAGGGCTGCTGTGACTGAATTTGCCTCTTGGTGAGGACAACAATTGTCAAAAGGTTGGAAATAGGTAATTAATTTCTTATATATAAGGCTTTTACATTATGATAAATATTTTCAGTGTTTGTTTATTAACTACCCCCTAGTCTCCTGTCATTTTGCAAGTGGCCCCCGGGCAAGCAAGTGTACAGTCAGCATGAAAAAGTTTGGAGGCAGCAGGGCAGGTGTGTCGATGACTACACATTTTGAAGGGGCTGACAAAATTCAACAATGTGAGGAGCATATATCGCCTTTAGCTCCAGTCATGCTGCAGACTGACAAAATTCAACAATGTGAGGAGCATATATCGCCTTTAGCTCCAGTCATGCTGCAGGCTAACTCTGTGTGTGGGGTAGTTGACCAGTTTTAAAGATAAATGCCTCCAGTTTTTGAGGGGGGTGAAGGGAAGTTATTCAATACTTCATCATCTTAAACTCCCCCTAAAGGCACAGAGGTGGTGATATATGGCAGTCTGTAATTTTGGGATACAAAAAAAAATTACAACATTATCTGAAATGATCACATATTCTCTGAGCATGATTCCAATATGGACATTAATCACAAGGCCTTATGGCTCCAGTGAGATGTGTCATCTCTCTGCCATTATCAATAATTTAGTAGGTTTTACTGACATAACCATCTGCAGTTTGGTCATCAATGACATCACTCCATTTAAAGTGCACAGCATAGATTAATACACTGAGAACTGAGTTCTTTGTCCTTTCTAGCGACGTTAACATACCTTGAGACTCAAACTGCTCCACAGCCTCCCTCAACGCCTCATCAGGCTCCATCTCAAACTCCTCCATGTTCTCCCTCACAGCAGCATCGAAGGTTTCCTGTGTGATCCTCCGCCTCGCCATTTTCGCCACAGTCTATAACGGTGAAATAACGGTGATGTCAAAAGATGAGAAACATCAATCGCGTTTATTCAGTTTTATCACAGATAGCTAGTAACAGCTACTATTAGCTAGCTGATGCTGTGTCCCTGCTATTGTTGCCGACTACGACCGTTGAAATTCACAAAGTTACCGTTACAAAAGCCGTTGTAATTTTAATGTTTATCCCACTTAAGAAAAATATAGTCACAAAAGACACAAGTCAAAGTACGTAACTGTTTCCACCGCCCAGTGACAGACAACCTGCTGAACTGTATGAATGAGACAACCGCTGTCGATTTACGCACTTTCCGTAGCCGTTGTGTTCAGTACCTGCAGCTCGAGCGCGGGGCGTGAATTGTATGTAACTATTTTAGTGAATAGCAATTTCCCGCAAATGGTCCCACTCATACATATTCTCGGTTGGGACAGACTGCGAAACATTAGTTCCACTAGTAGAGCGTTTCTCCCGAAGACAACTACTTTATAACATCTGTTTATCTCCGGAGTTAAGACAAGAAAAAATACAACTCAAGAACCTAGTATGTTTTTAATCAAGACGAGGCAGGCGTTACGCGAGTATCCGGTACATGAGACACAAAGGGACACTTTTAACTGAAAGTTTTGTTCCGACGACATTCCCTTCAAAATAAAAGAAGCATTTTAGTATTCTATAAAATCCCCGTGGTAAACTCACATGTCTAGTGAAATACCATTTTTTAGATGTTAATACAGTGTTTTTGTTGCCGTTATGTCACAACAATAACACAAAATACTCGGAACTGTGTGCTATGTTTGGCAAACGGTTACTCGTGTGTTTTTATTTTGAAGAAAAAAGACCGGAAGTTTTTATCCCTCTTGCTAGCTTAGCGCTAGTACTCAGTTTCAGGTAGAAAACATGAGCGGCTAGCCTCAGCCGGGGCAAAATCGGGGTATATTGTTACATTTTGTCTGTCTTTGGGCGACACAAGATGGCAGCGAGCACAGAAGCCCCGGAGCCCTGGTATCTAGCCCTGCTGGGCTTTGCAGAACATTTCCGCACATCGAGTCCGCCGAAGATCCGTCTGTGCGTCCACTGTCTGCAGGCAGTGTTTCAGTTCAAGCCGCCTCCGAGGGTCGAGGCCCGGACTCACCTGCAGCTGGGCTCGGTGCTGTACCGGCACACAAAGAACAGCGAGCTGGCCCAGAGTCACCTGGAGAAAGCGGTGAGCAGCAGCCACAGTGTCTGTGGTCCAATGAACTCCACTAGAAACATGTTTACCAGTGTGTGATGCTTTTCCTTTAATTGCACCATCTCACTGCCAAAATCTATTCTCAGTGTTGCTGACATTAATGTTTTCCTTTCTCATTTTCTCCCTGCAGTGGTTCATATCACAACATGTATCCTTTTTTGTGTAAAATATGAAATTGCACACAAACTGATACAAGGCGTGTTACTTCAGCATTAATACAACTCTTAGACAGCATACAAAAGAGATGTATATTGACACTAACTTATCTGATAATGGTACAATAAAACCCCTTCATGATTTATATATCAGATATCCCAATTTGAAGATGTGAAGTTTGAAGCAGCAAGTATCCTATCAGAGTTCTACTGTCAACAGGTACATGCATACATCTCTTGTATCCAGTTATCCTGTAATACTAATAATATAATGTGAGAAGCAGTGATTGGTAAACTTAAGTATAAAGTTTTATCATGTTGAAATATGTAATAGACTATAATAAACTATTGTACTTTCTGTTTTAGATATTACTCAGCTGTTTTCTTTGTTGTAATAACTCATCTATTGGCTTTTGTTTTCAAGAACTTGGTGGACTCTGCAAAACCAGTGTTGCGGAAGGCCATCCAGATCTCACAGCAAACTCCCTACTGGCACTGCAGACTACTGTTTCAGCTGGCAGTAAGAAGATATTATGCATTACAAACTAGGGATGAGCTAGTACACCTTTAATTGTATCTGCATGTGTGTCTATTCAACCAACTTAATCATCTGTATCCATATTTGTAATCGCAATGTGCGAGAGTTTAAACCTGAAGTGGTTAAGACAAGCCAGAAATGGGTAGGAAGTAACCAGAAGTAATCATTTTAAGCCTAAAATTGATATGGGTTGATCAGAAGTTGCTGTATTTATTATTAATTAGAAAGAAAACAAAACATTTTGCTTGGATAATACTTGTAAGAAATACTCGTTTCATCTGAGTATTCAGCTCAACCCTATTTCAGACTTGAAGCATGTTTCATTTATGTGTGTTGTACTCTTCTCTCTCAGCAACTACACGCACTAGAGAAGGACTTGGTATCTGCCTGTGATCTCCTCGGAGTCGGAGCAGAATACGCAAGAGTCATGGGCTCAGAGTATACAAGGTAAACAAATTAGATTTATGTTTGAACACACTTTGATCTGTGGCTTAATGCTCATTATCTAACATTAGATCTATTCTTTTCTTTTCACGCAGAGCTCTGTTTTTGCTCAGTAAAGGAATGGTAAGCGTAGATCATACTCTGTTAATTAAAGGCACTTTACATATTATTTGTGTTGCTTTCTCACCGTGCACTCCTGTAAACTGCACATGCATTTGTGGCTCTCCAGCTGCTACTGATGGAGCGGAAGCTGAGCGAGGTGCACCCTCTGCTGACGCTGTGTGGGACCATTGTAGAAAACTGGCAGGGAAACCCCATTCAGAAGGAATCCCTCAGGGTCTTTTTCCTGGTGCTGCAGGTTACACACTACCTGGATGCTGGACAGGTACAGCTGTATCTACATGTCTCACTACTGGAAAATTACTAAAATCCCACATCAGGAGCTGCATTTAAAAGTAAAATATTACATTTCTTTTTGTATTTTTCAAACAATCATTTAAAAGCTAATCAATCAATCGTTGCAGCTCTACGTAATATGCATATTTTTCAGTTTTGTGTTTATATGTTGATCCTTTTAGATGATTTATGATGGCCAAAGAAACAAAGTCAGAGTCTTTATCTGTATGTTGGATTTAGGTAAAGAGTGTGAAGCCGTGTCTGAAGCAGCTCCAGCAGTGTATCCAGACCATCTCTACTCTCCACGATGATGAGATCCTTCCCACTAATCCAGCAGCTCTCTTCCACTGGCTGCCAAAAGAGCACATGTGTGTGCTTGTGTACCTGGTGAGATATTGTCGCACACACACACACACACACACACACACACACACACACACACAGATGTCGCCATCCTTAAAAATATAATCATAAACTCCAAAAGACCATATTCAGTGTGATCCTGCAGCCACGTGATTTGCCTTTTTTTTTTTTTTTTTTTTTTTGGTTCAAAGGTGACAGTGATGCACTCCATGCAGGCGGGCTACTTGGAGAAGGCACAGAAGTACACAGACAAAGCTCTCATGCAGCTGGAGAAGCTGAAGAGTAAGTTTGTTGGAATACGCTCAGTGCTTATCTCCCCCTTGATGACAACTCGACTCTGATCCATCTGTGTGTGTTCAAAGTGCTGGACAGCAATCCCATCCTGTCTACGTTCCAAGTCATTCTGCTGGAGCACATCATTATGTGCCGGCTGGTCACCGGACACAAGGCCACAGCCTTACAAGAGGTACGCCATCTGCAGCAGAAGTTCATCTGTGTGCTGTCAGGCTGTTGCTAATTACGAATAAAAGCACCATAGAAATAGACAGTAGAAGTATATTGTGAAGAAGAAAATGGTGGTTGTTGTTAGATGATATGCTCAACTCTCATTTTATGTTTATGAAAAGCACAGATTCCATAACACCAGTTTACTCTGAAGTTTGTCCAGATTGTATTTTAAGATTGTGATGAATGCTCTCGGTGTGTGTTTAGATTTCTCAGGTTTGTCAGCTTTGCCAACAGTCTCCCAGGCTGTTTACAAATCATGCTGCTCAGCTTCACACACTACTGGTAAGTCTACATGCAATGAAAACACACTTTTATGTTAAAGGAAACACAGACATGCTTATGATGAGAAAAATGGAAGATATATTTGTGAGAATAACGTCTACGATCGCTTATAATCTAGATTCCAATGAAATATACAGCAAAAATACCACACTTGATATTCTACCAACACGTTACTGGACATTTCCTTTTTTGTTCATGGTTTTGTTTTAGTTAAAAGTAGCTTACAAGCTTTACAAGATGCATCTGTCCCAGATAATATGAACCATTCACATCTGTTTCCTCTTTTTTTGTATCAGGGACTCTACTGTATCTCAGTGAACTGCATGGATAATGCTGAGGCTCAGTTCACAGCTGCTCTACAGGTGAGTGAGTTTCCTATCATAACTGGCACATCACAAGGTCCTTGTGGACGGTGAACTCTCTCCGACCTCCTGTGCTTATCCAGATATTTGAAACCCAGTAGAAAGGTTTAAAGCCATGACTATGTGACTCTTAAATGACTCTGTGTCTCATTTTTTCTTCTTCTGTTAGATGACAACGCACCAGGAACTGTGGACTTTTATTGTGACCAACCTGGCCAGTGTCTACATCCGGGAAGGCAACAGACACCAAGAGGTCAGGCAGCTGCTCCCTCCTCCAGCTTTTAAAGGTCTAGTGTGGAGGATTTAGGGGGATATATTGGCAGAAATGAAATATAATGTTCATAACTATGTTTTTTATTAGTATATAATCCTCTGAAACTACCAGTTGTGTTTTTGTTACCTTAGAATGAGCTATATCTACATATCGAGCAGTGATCACCATGTTGTTACTACAGTAGCCCAGGACAGACAAACCAAACACTGACTCTAGATAGGGCCATTTGCATTTTTGCAGTCTGCAACTTCACCACTAGATGCCACTAAATCCTGCACACTTGACCTTAAAACATTTTTATCTATATGTTTTTTCTTCAAACTTATTTTTTTGAATCAACAGCTGTACAGCCTTCTAGAGAGAATTAATCCTGATCACAACTTTCCCGTCAGGTAACTACACATCAAGATAACCTCAGATCATGTAAGTTTGTTTCATGCTGCTTTTTTTGCTGAATTTTAAAGTGATATAACTTTGACTTCTTTAGCTCTCATTGCCTGCGAGCTGCAGCGTTTTACATCAGAGGGCTACTGTCTTTCTTCCAGGGTCGTTACAATGAGGCCAAGTAAGAACACCTTTCTTTTCATATGCGCACTATAAACAGTACATTTAGTCCTCTGTTCTGCCCTTATGTTTATAGCAAGAGAGCCTAACATGTAAACCTCCATCAACAGAAGATTTCTCAGGGAGACCCTGAAGATGTCTAATGCTGAGGATCTAAACAGGCTGACTGCCTGCTCGCTGGTCCTGCTGGGTCACATCTTCTTTGTCCTGGGCAACCACAGGGTGAGTCTACAACACTACATGACTGCTCTATTAGACTCCACACTTAGGCTACAGATTTAATCTTGACTCCTTGTCTGGGTCCGTATTTTCTCCAGGAAAGTAACAATATGGTGGTTCCTGCGATGCAGCTGGCCAGCAAGATCCCAGACATGTCTGTGCAGCTTTGGTCCTCTGCACTCCTCAAAGGTACAGCAGCCACTCAGTCTTAATACACACACTGAAGTTTCATGGTGATATTATGTTACAGGAAATAAAAATGAAAACAGGAAATATTTACCTGTTGAGAGAAGTAAAAGAAGATAAGTTTTCATTTTGGCCTGATGGAGGCGCAAGAGGAAAACTTATGGAGTGTCCCAACATGGAATGGCTCTGTTAAATATATGCGCTCAGTAAATGTAAGTGTAGTCTGTCCATTAAATTTAGATATTTCTTATGTGCCACTGGACATTTCGATCTAATGTTGGCAAATGTGAGGGGGTCATCAGAAGCATTAGGTTCATCATCTGGTTGTGATTAATATCCACATCAGATCTCATAGGTATGGAGCCTCACAGTGTTCAATATTAACTAAACATTAACAATTACGATATAAATTAGTATGTAAAACAAGGAAATTAGACAATATTTTGTGAAATGGTTGAAGAAATTATTATGAAATGTTTAATTTTTTTAACTCATAATATCACTTTTCATACATCAGACTGACACATACAGATACTTTTGGGGGCTAGAAAGCCAAAGATTCTATTGATGTCAACACAATTTTACGTGTGTTTTGATTACAGTTTTGACACACCTGTATGCATTTATTTTTTACTAAACAAATATTTGTTTTATAGACATGTCTAATAATTGTTTTGCGACTGTGTCTGAACCTCAGCGTTCAAGATACCTTGATAATGTCATGTCTTTGCGGTCTTTCCCCATCCAAGTAGATAAACGACACAACACAGTGGCCAGATATTGCTTATCTGGAAAAATATATTTACTACTTTAAAAGACTTTTTGCTGGTCTGATGTGCAACAGTTGGGTTGTCAGCACCATTAAACCTACAACTAATCAACAACCAGAATTAGCAAGTTAGCACCAGTTAGCCAGCGTTATTCTAAATCAACTATCAGACTGCTGTTGCAAATTAACACAAAAATAAAATGTCATTATGGGTTTTTTTAGCTCAACAAGGATACACATGCTACCTACCTAACTAGTTAACTACCTAGATAGGGTTGTGTTTATTAGGAAAGAGCCAGTGTTAGCAGCACCAGCTAACATTAGCTGGTTAATTACGGGTTACTTGTGCCATATTTGAGGAATCTGTTTCTGGACAAAGACACACAGCTCTGAAGATCAGGTCTTTCTCACTGGTCACTCAAGTTAGCAGGAGCTAGCCAACAATGCAAACAGTGACTCTGCTACACTGCTGAGTAACAATATAAACTCACAAGCTGGTTTAGCTAATGGGCCAGGAAGGTAGGTGGCATGAGCAGCTTAAAGAGGTTTAGTTTCAGTGTACTGTGTTTATTTACAGCAGCAGCTGATTCAGAACTACTTTGACACTGTTTTTGCTCTAGCTAACAGGAGCTAACAAGTTAACACCTGCAGCTGTTTAGCTTGTTAGGTGTCTTAACAGGCAGGGGGCAGGTGATTGGCTGGAAGGGGAGATGGTGCTTCAATAATCAGCAGTCATACATGGAGAGATCCCTTACAGAGGAGGCAGAGATGCCCTCTTCTCATTCAGTAATAGCATCGATACACCACAGAGTAATAAAGCCACAACTGAATTAGAAGTGGACGTGGCTTCGGGAAAACAACAAAGTAACTGAAGAAGCACTTAATCACTCTGCGGTAACTTGATAAAGTCTAAGCGTATTCATCTGACATTAGGATCCAAAATCATTAAACATAAAACTGCAGCTGTGGTCGTCAGTATTCACGTTCATCCTTTCCCTGCAGATCTGAACAAGGCTTGTGGAAACACAATAGATGCCCACGAGGCAGCTCAGATGCACCAGAACTTTTCCCAGCAGCTCCTGCAGGACCACATCGCAGCCTGTAGCCTCCCTGAGCACAACCTCATCAGTGTAAGCATAACTTCAGTCTGCCTATAAACAGTGAGTCAATTACACCTGCTTGGATTTTGAAGGAAACTGTGATGTGTTATGTTCCAGTGGACAGACGGCCCCCCCCCCGTCCAGTTCCAGCCTCAGAACGGACCTGCTACCAGCCTGGCCTCCCTGCTCTGAGAACAAAATCCCACGCTGACTAAGAAAAGGAGACACAGAGGAGCAACTGCAGGGAAATGACATAAAACAGATGAACAGAAAAAACGAGAAGCAGCTGATGAAGGGGTAAGAGGAAGAGGAGGCACGATAATGAACAGTGTCATTTGGCAGGCTTCCACTCAGTGCATTCCTTCAACTATTTGGGGCACTGGGGCATCATGAATGGATTTTAGGAAATTTAATGTTTTTGGAAAGTAAAAGGTGTCAAGGGCACATTTGTATTGCGCTGACACAGTTTGAAGTGGTTGTAATAGTTTGTTCTACTAGATCAAAAACAAATTGGAGGAAAGGTTATATGAGAAGATTGATACCACTTGTAAATATGAAGCGTCTGCCAGCGGCCAGTTCGCTTAGCTTACCACAGAGACTCTCCAAACAGGAGGAAACAGCTGGTGTGAGTTTTAATAAGCTTTGTAGGTGCTGGTAACATGGCCAGCATCTGGGTTTTTTCCATCCTGGTGCTAAGGGGGAGCTTGACCAGTACATGAGTTACATACACATAGAGACAGACAACCATTCACGCTCACATTCACACCTACAGCCAAGTTAGCATCACCAATTAAGCCTAGCCTGCATGTCTTTGGCCTGTGGGAGGAAGCTGGAGTACCCAGAGAAAACCCATGCACACATGCAGGCTCTGCACAGAGGGGTTCAAACCAGGAACCAGGGACCCTGTTGCTGTGAGGCGACATTGCTAACCACCGCACCACCACGCTGCCCTTATAAAAATGGCTTCAGGGTGCTTAACTAGGGCTACACAAATTTGTGATGTGGCTATAGCAACCTCTAGCCCCCCTACAGCACTGTGCCTGGCTGGTTGGTGGATTTTATTACCTGTGGACAGACCCAGTCTAGCTCTTACACCTGTAGAGTGTTCCAGGGGTGACATTTTCCTGTAGCCTCTTGCGGGAAGTAATCGTCACCCTGGTTCCATCCTCAAAAGGTCTGTGAGATTTTTTCCATTTAGTTTTGGATTATTGTAGAAAATAAGCTCCATGGCAAACAAACTTTTATGATACTTTTTTTGTTCAGCGAGATAATCTTCACAAACGAACACCACTTTTATGATTTTTGAAGCCTAAATGCAATCTCCAGAGTAAAAAGCTAACGTTATAGATATAAATGAACTACGCCATAGTCACATGACTTAACATCTCTACCACAATGAGGCTGTAAAGCAGCGTGTGGCGTGTTGACGTTCTGCAGTCTCATTTAACCACCTTTTTTAAGACACTTTAAAGCTTCAAAGTGGGGTGTTTAGTGATGTATTTAATGTCGTAGAACAAAACATGAAAGTCTCTAAAGCTTGTCTTAACCACAGAGCTTAGTTCAGGCATCTAACAAAAACCCATGACTTTGAAATGAGAAAACCGGGAGTGCAGAAATGCTAACTCATTTTTGGGTTTTAGGGCTCATTCCTGGACAACTCTATTTCCAGTCATTGTGCTAAGCTAAGCTAGTCAGCTACTGACAGTAACATATTTGCCGTACAAACATGAGAGGGGTGTCTACATTCTCATCTAACTCTTGGCAAGAAAGCAGTCATCATATCTGCCATTGCCGCTGGATTGCGGCGTATCTTGGCATGTTACCACCACCTGTTGATCAGTGTGACACCACTGGTAGGACTGCGTATCACGTGCACCTGCATGCATGAGATAAACAAGAGAAAAACCCCTCTGTAGCACAACAAGAGGTCAGACACTCCACAGGGAACCTTTAAATTCAAGCGATTTGTCCCGCTCATTCAGCTCCCCTTTTAACTCTTTACAGCACAATTATCATGGAGATATTTTTATTTTGGAAGAACATTAAAGAAGCTTAAATTAGTGTTGAATTTAAACCATCCATTGGAAAAAAAACAGTCAAATATGACTCAATTATGATGCAATGCATGAACACTTGTCTTTTTAAAACATTGGTTGGCACGTTCTGATACACAGTATTAGTTAGGATACATTTGGATATACGGTTTACTATATATCTGTAATGATCTTAATGTAGTGTAGTGGTATGTCTGATATGTACTTGGTGGTTCAGTTGACAGCTGCACATGTCGTTTATCCACTGACGAGCATTAATTATATTAAAGACAATTTAATATATTAGATTTACTAGACCCAGAAACCAGCTAACCATTTTATATAAAGGCAAAGACTGGCTTGCTTCACACCCAGTAGTATTAATTAATGTTTTGAAGGTATGAAATGTACTTTAAACATGTTTTAAGACTGTGATGCAGCAAAGAAAAAAGTATTTGGATCATTTTTGACACTGCAGTTCACTGGACTCGCTGCCTGGCCCTTTTACTCTCACTGTGCTGTATGTTTATATGCTGTGCACATTTAGCGTGGAGTCAAGGAACCAGTAATAATAAGACAACAATAATAACAACGATATGACTGTTACCTGTTTGCACATAATGTTTCATGATGAAACTCACATTTTTATCTTTTCCACTGACACATTTTGGAGTATTAGTTTTTTTCTCTTTGCCTGTTTTACTCATTTCTTCCAGATGATGGCGGCATAAATCTGTATTTAAATAGTTATTTAATTTTGTTCATCATTACACCTGATGCAGTTGTTGTTTGCCATTAATGCTGATTACCGTTTGATATATTATCAAATAACTGGTAGGACTGTTGATTTAGGACACTGATGTAGGAATGGTACATTTTTAGTTGTATCTAGTAAAGACACTCATCACATAAACTACTGAGTTTGGTCATCAAAGTAATTACTGCAATAAAAACTACAATATGGATGCCATTTATTGTATCAGCATTTTACCGTATGTTATAAAGCAGAATGTTTAATTTGTGTTTTCTCACTTGTCATTTTAATCTCAACACATCTATGACTTTTTATAAATAAAAATTCAAAAGTAGAGTGATGTGATTATTCTTGATTATTCTCTAATAATGACTAAAACTAATGCTGACTAAAACAACCAGGGGGTTTCTTGTTATGGCTGATTCAGTGCAGAACACACACAGTGTACTTTATATTACAGCTAGCCATGTTACAAACTGTGTTTCTACTTTTTAGATATTTCCACTTATTTTCCATACATTATGAAAGTCTGTACACAGACTTGTGACACTCGGTTGCGTTGTCACTGTGAAGTCTGCATTAATATATGTCAAAGTTGCTGTGTTGTCTCAGGATAAGGCAGCGCAGACTTCTCAGATCCATCTGCAGTTACACACTAAATTAACCCACAGCCACTGATTGCACAACTCAGTCAAGCTTCAAGTGTCTGCATGTTAATTATTATGGCATACAGAAATTATTGGATGCTTGGAACAATTCAAGAAGTACATCTAAAGATCTGAAACTTTATTGCATTTATTAAAAAGTACAAAGCAAATTATGTGTACATGATACATAGGTGAAGAACTAAAACCTGCAAGTGTGCTGGGAAAGTCCTTTAAGGCCACACCTAGAAGTTTTATAATGAAATCCTTATTAAGAAAACCACAAGAGCTTAGTCATGTCCTCTTTAACATTATCAGGTTCAAAAGAAAACTAGAAAATGTGACCATCTGCTGATACTTAACATCCATGAATTGGCCACAGTTGTCATGATATTGAACAAATACAGAATACATAGTGTGCTACAGAGATGTGTCACCGTAAATGCTCTCAGACCGATGTGGACAGTGTTGCCCTGAATAAGGTGGCTGACCTCCGAGGAACAACTGAGTAAACTGTGAAGCACATGACCTTTGTGTCCAATGCAAAGGCTAACAAGACCGCAGGGAGATGAGGATCAGGTCACCGCTGTAGAAAAAGGTTATCAAAAGGCCTAATGTGTCAGATCATAACCACTGGTCTCTATACATGTTTCCAAGCTTTAAAAATGGGAGTTAAATGAGTGCTATCTGAGTGAAAGAGATACAGAGAAAAGCAGCACATGTTAGGGGAATAAGGGAGATGATGTACATGTCCTACATACTGCTACTCTAGTTAGGAAGCTTAAAGTGAAGATTGGCTTTTATTTTAGAAATAAGTGTAAGTTTTACTTCCAGTACTACTTTGCTGTCTGTGATTGATTTCGGTAACATATTGCAGCCTTGATTCAGTGTACCATGCACCATATGTTTTATTACAAATGCAAAGTCACTTACTCATCACTGCATTCTTTATGATTTGATGGGTTGGACATCACTGACCATTTGCAGACAGCAGCACTGGTAGGCTATATTTTTTATCTATAAAGCAATATTCAAACTTCCGGCCTACGTCTGCACCCTTCTGTGTGTCAGCTCTGGTAGTTAGCAGCTACGCTCCTCTAGGTGGTTGCTTTTTAATGTACCCTGTGTTTTAACAGATCTGGGGAACACTGCATTGTCCTAATCTGCACCTCTGACATGGATCTAAAATTAGAAACACTAATATCCATTGATGAATTTAAGGGCACCATAAAGAATGTGGTGACAGAGACATGTGTTTTATTGTGGATTTTTCTATTGTAAGTTGTATTTGTTGCATTTTAAATATGTTCTGACTGGCTGCTACCTCGGCCAGGTCTCTCTTGTAAAAGAGATTTTCAACTCAATGGGACTTCCTGGTTAAATAAAGGTTAAATGAATAAATACATAAAATGATGTGGAGTTTATCACAGTTTATACAAACCTTAATATCATCAATGGAAAACATGATGTTTGCTGTTTGAACACAAGGTGACCCATCAGGTCAAATGTTACAGATCACTCAGGGTGATATATTTGCTTGTCTATGACATTTACCTAAAAAAGATATTTACAGTAATAATAAAACTGCCCACACTGAAAAAACAAGACTACCTGTATAGTCTATTATTGGACTTTGTGGAGGCAAAATTATTGAAGTGAAGCAATCAAGATTATTTGTGCTAGTTTACTGACTCTAAGTCTCTCATTACATTGTTCAGAACAGGTATTATTTTTGCTTGATATTAAATGTATTTGCCCTATAAAAAAGATGTGATGTCTTTAATTTTTCAGCTTTTATTAATGAATTATCAAACTGAAAATATCCACCAAATGAGCCCCGATTTTGACAATATAATTGCTGTGGAAAGTAAACTCAGTACGGAATATACCCTGAAAGGGTTGGTTGTCTTGAGTCATATTAAAAAAGCATCTTATTTTGAAATCCAAGACGTAGGCGTCATATTTTTTTCAAGTGTGAACATGAGGTTCTGCAGCTCATCATACACATCGGTATTTAACGGAGACCTCCTCTGAGAGCTCATCCTTTTTTTCTCCCATACAAATAAATATTTGAAAACATCATATCATCAAGTTTTAATATCTCTCCTCTCCTGTCGTGTTTCCTCCTGTCCGCTGCTGACGGGAAACTATTTTCACCAGAGGAAAAGGTTCAGTGAGAAGTGGAAACTTTTGGGACGCTCTAGGTGTCTTGGACGCAGCTGAAAGGAGCCATTTCCTGCCAAATAGTGAGCCCGTCTAATCGTGACTGCAGCAGCTACTTCCTGCATTGTTACATTACTTAATGAGGATTAAGTTGAAGCTGTCATGTTGTAACGGGCGGCCATTAGGCCTCCTCCACGCGGGGAGAGGAGAGACACTGCAGGCTGATCTTCTCCATGTTTAATATCAGATCTGATCCCTTCACCTGGTCAGGACCTGCTCACTGACTCTGTCCTGCTGAAATGTACATGTAGACCTATATACTCATATGGAGACCTTTATTAAATCAGCAACTTTTAGGTGCATTCCTACAACATATGAATTAATTTGAGATATAATAACACTAGTGTAAAGCAATTTTTAAAAATCCTCACATCATCATTGTTATGTAATAGTCATAAACAATGAGTAAACAAAATAGATGTGGTGGACTAAGGAAGAGGATCACCAGTCCAGTTCAGCCTCAGAAAACACTTCTAAGATTATGACATGGCCTTTATTTTAAACTCTGCATACTGTAGGTTAATTATTGTAGGAGTGTTTCATTGTAGGCTACTATATTTCCAGGCGTTTCCACACTTTTTCCACCTTTGTACGTTTATTAAAAGACAAATTGACCTTTCATTTACAAATGTTTGCAGGGCCATAGCCAGGATTTTATAAATACTGAGGTCATGAGTCAGAGTCCTCCAATTCAACACCACATCCCCTGATAAAATCTGACCAGACACCAAAAGGGAGCTCTCTAAAACTGCTTTTAGTTGTTTAGGTTTTTAGGTAGGCCTTTATCACTTACTTAAATTTTACCCGTTATATCTGTAAATATTTCTTGACATTTTTTAGAGCCGTCTCTTCAAAGCCTA